AGCGTTCGCAAATTTTGCTTCCGTTCGCGAACTCCGCATCGGGGGACGAACACAACCCGCGGCCACCTTCCCTGCTCTGACACGGGGTCGTGGCTTTCTCCAGGCGAGATCGCGGTCGCAGACAGACACTTGCTGTGAAGCTTTTTGGTGTCGCCTCAACCAAGGTTAGCGTTCTCTCTCTTCATACTGTACTGTACTGTATTTTGTTTCATATTTTTGTGGTTAAAAAGAAAGTACAAATGGTTCAGAATGGATTAACCTTATTTACATTGAACTTTATGGGGAAATTTGATTCGGTTCGCGAACAGCTCGGCTCGTAACCAGAATCGTGGAATGAATTAAGTTCGTGAACCGAGGTACCACTGTACTATCAAAGGCCGATCTGCCCAGCTTGAAAAATGTAACAGTCCTATCCACCAGGCTCCCTAATCGGTTGGCCTCGGATTTTTGGCCAGGGAATTCAGAAATGCGTGTGTGCATATATTTACTGGTCTTGCCTAAGTCAAGTTGCCCAGCGGTCTTTGGCCTGTACAGTGACTTCCTAGAGACCCAGAGCGGTCAAGGGGGTGCACAGACGCAGGAGAAACCCCCCCCCCCAACCATCTATCCCATTGTTTCTCAATCTTGGCTGCTTGAAGAGGTGTGGACTTCAACTCCTAGAATTCCCCAGCCAGGATGTTGGCTGGGGAAATCTGGGAGTTGAAGTCCACACCTCTTCAAGTGGCCAAGGTGGAGAAACACTGCTCTGTCCTGTTTACCTGGATAGCTATAGGCATCATCTGCCCCTTTGAGTTGAGGAACAACAGGCAAAGTGGGGCTGCCAGATACTGCTGCTTCCCATTCAATTTGCATGTCGGGATGTCCTCCAAGATCTTGTAGTCGGCGATAAAGATGTTCCCTTTCTGGGTGGGAGAGAAAGAGATGGAAGAAGCCTGCTGTGAATTGAGCCTAGGTCTAGGACTCCAGAAAACACAGTCTTCCCCATTGGGAACTGGAGGATCCCAGGCCCTTTTCTCTTTGCGACAAGCCAAATCCAGCGTTATTCCCATTTTAGAGAAGGGAGAATGGGCACTGAAGAACCTGCCTAGGGCTCTGCCATAAATTGGTGGCCTAACCATTGGAGACCTGAGTCCCGAAGTCAGATTCTGTCGGGGCCTCTGTTTACCAGGCTACCGCTCAGATCGTTTTGTGGACATCTCCTGGTGAGGTTTCCAGGGGCCAAAGGAATGTAGGAGCCCCGAAACAATCTACCTTCTCCCACCCATGAGATGTGCACGTATGTTACCTTCAGTTCTTTCTCGAGGGAGGTGGATTTTCCCAAACTGGAAGCCACCATCTCCTCCATCACAGGGAAATTGTCTGGGATCTTGGTGCATTTCCGGAGCAGGACGGGGTTGACTCCGTTCAGATACTGATAGCCGAAAAAATCATCGTCCATCCAGTGATCCATGACGTATTCTGGATTTATAGAAAGGCTCCTTTAAAGAAGGCTGTGAATCCCTATTTGCTACAGCTCTATACAGTGGATCCTGCATTTCTTGCCTGCATTGGTGGGGAGTGCTTTTTTCAAAAAAAAAAGCAAGCAAGGAAAAAAATATCAGTCACGTCCTGCTCGTGCCTTCCTCACAAAAAGATGTCAGGGAAAGGGAAGGCCAGACAGCCACAGCCCACATGAACGAGTCACGCGTCTATGGTGGAAAAAGGAACAATGTTTGGGGCTTAGGGAAAAAAAGGAGAAAAATAGGAAGCATGATGGAAATGCATAAAATTATATGTGGAGCAGAGAAAGTAGGAAAGGAAAAGCTTTACTCTCTCCCTCTCTCTCTCTCTTTCCATCATCTATATCTATCTATCATCTATCCATCTATTATCTATCTATCTATCTGGAAATTGCAACCATGAGATGTGGAAGTCACTGTTGGCTTGGGCGGCTTTAGAAGATTATATCATCAACCCCCAAGATTATATCACCATCAACAGAAAAAGGGGATTTGACAAATTTATGCAAATGCTGTTGTTTCTCTTCCAGTGTTTCCAAAACTCCAATGCTGGAGAAATGGCCCATCTCTGCACCCCCTAACCTATCCGTCCTGCACCCCCCAACCTATCTGTCCTGCGCGTCTCCCATCTGACGGACAGACATCACAGACAGACGGACACCCGCAAAGAGTTGGGCACCTTTATCCAAAAGCAGGCTTGGGGGAAAGTCAGAAGCGCAGCAGTTTGTCTGGCTCCGGTCCGCTTGGCAAAGGGAGACCCACCTGTGACCGGAGTTTTGTGAAACCAGAAGATTTTCCGGAGATCATTCAGACTGTCCCAGGACTCCGTGAGGTCAGAGAAGCCCTTCAGCCTCAGCTCCAGCTCCCTGCGAGGAAGGACCATAATGCGTGAGCTGGGAATGGCGAGAACCACCGTGATGCCCACCAGCTAAACAGGCAATTCCAATTCCATTGGCCAGTGCAAATGGGGCCAACGTCAACACCCCCACCCTCCAGTGACACACCGCGCTGTTGGAAAAGCTGCCGTTCATCTGGGGCCGTTCCCCGCAGGCAGCTAAACCTGGACAAGCACACGTCGGCAATTGCTTTTTTTCAGCTGCGCCATCTTCATCTGCCCCCAGCTGAGGAGGGAAACAGGCTGATGTTGGCCTTAGCAAAGTTACTGCCTGTTCTCTAGCCCCATCTTTCTCAAGCTTGGTCACTTGAAGATGAGCGGACTCCAACTCCCAGAATTCCCCAGCCAGCC